ACTGGAGAAGATGGGAAACAGGGTGTCAATGCAGAATGACACCTTGGCTGCAAGAGGAAGGGATGAAGTCTCAAGAGCTTGGAGGTGGGACCAAGTAGGTGTTCCCACCAAGAAGCAGCTACTCAGGTCATAGCTCCAGGGGACTTAATTGTCTATCTTTTAGAGTTGCACACGGGTCCCGAGAGGATGTGGAAGGCTGTGCTCAGCAACCATTCATCTTAAAAGTATCTCAAAGGAAGGGCGACCATCCGCCCTTTCAAGCATTTCCCTCATTCTCAAAGCGGAGGTTTTAAAACGTCCCACTTCAAATAAACTTCCTAGAACGGTGTTAAGAATAAGCCAAGATAACTGCCTATCCTCAACTCAAATTGCCAATCGTGCTTTACGTTTTGACTCCAGCCTCCGTAAGCAACAGATCTCGAAGGTTCACCTAGGTGACTCACCTTCTTCTTAGCTGTCTTTCGGAACCTCCTCTTTCGGACGTTCTTCAACGGGAGCGTAACTGCAAGAACACAACGAATGAATTGGCAAAGGGGAGATGGAACAGGAGGGTGCAGCCAACAGGTCTTTGGGGACGTAGAAGAGATGCTAGCGTTCTGAACCCTAAAGGGTCTCATCATCCTTCGTGAGGAATGGTGTTCTGACCTAGGCTTCACCAAAATCACGAAGCCGACTCCTCGTCCTCAGAAAACCACTTTTTATTAGGCTAATGTGAATTCCTATCATTCACATCCAGCAAAGTCCCGGCAAACGGTCTTTCGAGGGTGAATTGCAACCACAGACCTTATCAGGCTTGGAGAGTTGCCAGGCCGATGGCTTCCAAGGGCAACGCTGTACAAGGAAATACTTGCCAAGGAGTCTCTAAGAGTCACAAACAAATCTTCACACTAATTAAACGAACTAACTGTCTCCTGCAAACACCACTCCCATTTCGTTCTTAATTCCCTATGGGAGGGGCCATTCACCATCCACCTGTGCCTTTACACCCGAGTTGACCCTTGTTCCTTAATTGTTCCCTTCTCCTGGCAGCTCTGCGCATGCGCACACTGGGGACAGGCTCCAGCTGTTCTTCTGCCCCCACTGATCTCCGAATCCAAAGGCAGCTGATAACTGTTGGACGGCCCTGGCCCCATCTCTGCCTCTGACGCAGAGCCCTTGTCGGAGCCTTTCCCAGACTCCAGGACTGGCCCATGTTCCTCCCCAACCTCCTCACTGTCTGAGTTTGCCGCCAGCTCTGCTGGCCGTTGATGGGCCACAACAAATGGTGAGGGCATGGAGGTAGGGGACAATGCACAAATTAAGGCTCCCTAGTGTAGGTGAATGACTCAAGAACTACTCACTGCCATGGTTCCAGATGAATTTCTTCTCCCGGTCCTTATCCTTCTTCTTGTTGGCTCTAGCATCAGTACTCACGGATGGCTCCTCCAAAGGAGGGTAGAGTTCTCCATCCACAGTGCACACAAGCATCTGAACTCCGCGACAGAATAAAAGAATAATTGACTGTTATCTCAGAGAGACATCAGAAGGAGTAAAAGCCCAAGGAAAGTACCGTTAGATCAAACTAGAGGCTTCCTTAGTTCAGTCTTGTCAGAGTGGTCAATCAAGCAGATATCAGTCATAAATTGCCCCCTAACACAACTGGACAACATCATCAGGTCTTGGTGCTTCAGCAGAGGAAGGAAAATACTTAGGGACGATTCACATCCTGCCCAGTGTCTTTTTTCACTTTTACTGTCAGAAAAGATACAGAAGTGTAGCCAGCTGGACAAACAGGTTTAAAAACAGCTTTTATCCATGGGCTGTCAGACTCCTAAATACTACAATCACTCCATGTCTACATGGAAACATGGCTGGTTTCTCCTTAATTACTTGTATAAGGACCACTTTCTATATTATTCATGTTGTATTGTAGTTTTGTTTTGGATAGCACCAGCAGAAGCAAAAAATCTGTTTCATTGTAAATATGTACAATGACAATAAAGCTTATTATTATATACTTTTATTCATTAAGCATGAAGCTCAGTTTATTATTATATTATTAAATTCGTAATATGAGCACAAATTGCTCAGTATTGGAGATGGACTCCAATATCTTCAGAGTGAGTCTGAATCTTCATAGCTAGTTGCCTTTTTAAAAAAAAAAAAAATCCATCAAGTTGTCTAATCCAGGGGTCGCCAACCTTTTGGATCTCAGGGACCACCAAACTCATAATTTTAAATCCCGCGGACCAGAGACCCTGGGAAAATCCCAAAAAAAGTCTGCAGGAAAATT